TTCATTCCTCTTACCTCGTCTTAGCTAAAAACACACCCACCTCTCCTTACAGACAGTTGTCCCCTTTTATTATTCTCAGTAGAATATATTAGAGTTTTTAACCTTTAAAAACCTTACATTCTAGTAAGAACTAAGAAGTAAACAATTATGAACTGTCTTTTACCTTACCAAATTTATAAGTACTAGTTATAATTGCTACAAGCAAATGCTTTTTCATAGACAGTTTCTCAGCATGGTATAAAATATGGTTGCCAATAGATCCAAATTTATCTTTTTAGTTTTTCTGCATTAGAGAAACAAAAGTAAATAAACTTGCATTTAATAATTAATATTTCATTTCTTCTTATTAGAAAAGATCCAGGTATTTAATAAATGTCTACAATTTAATTTAACTTAGCAAAACTTTAAATTTTCAGATTGGCAAAAGATTTGGGAAACTGTTTTTAAGTATGCATATTGTAACAGGAAGCAACCGAGGGGGGGCCCCCAAATAGGGATTTGTAATGGGGTCCAGAACTCAAGGTGTCTAGGAAATATTAAATATATATATATGATGCCCTCACCCCCACTAGTCTGAGCTGGGGGATGGGACACAAGGAGCAAGGCCATTGAGAGCTGTTTTGCACAGCAACAGCTTTGCAGCTAACCTCTGGCATGGTCACTTAACATATCTATAGCCTTTAACTGGTTTCATGGATATGTTAAGTAGCTGTGGCCATGCTTTGAGCCAGGGGGATGGGAGTGACTTCCACCCAGGATGTAGCTGGGAGGCAACGCCCCCTGGTTATCACACCTATGTGAGAACTTGGAGATGGTTGGCTCCATGCCATGGGGCCACGCCTGCCCGGACTTACTATGGCAGCCCAGTGAAGCTGGAAGAATACAGGGATGCTGGCGGGTGTCACTGATTGTGGGAGGAGTCAGAAATGGGGCTGCAGAGGAAAATTGGCGTGGGGATTTAAACCTAGGTGCGGCAGCCATGATGGGAATCGCCACGCAGCTTGGGCGAGAGTTAAGACCACACAGCTCCAGGGTGTTCCCTTTTGCCACATGGCTTAGGCAGCAGGAGAGACTTTGCCTGGAAGAAAAGGTGTGAAAGGACTCTTGCTGGTGGGCCATGAGAAGGTGCCACATGGCTTTGGATTAACTGGAGATCGTGGCAGACACAGCTGATGGTGCCGGGAGCCTGAATCACAGACTTCTACTTCTTTCCCTGAGATACGGTACCCCGGACTGGGCAGAGGGGAGAAGGAAGGACTGTGTGCATTTGTGCGTATTCTAAAAAACTCTAGTATTTTAATGAAGACATTACTCTAAGTCTGTATAACTTTTAAATAAATAATTCCTTTCCTTTTCACCAATCTCTGGCATTGAGAGACATGTTTCCTCTGGCAGCAGGCAAAGTGAGCCTAGTACAGGGGTGGGGAACCCCCAGAGGAAAAGGAGGGGTCCTTTTGGTAATAGTATATCATTCACCCCCCGTCTGTTCTGCAACAATATCATAAAATGTAATTTGCTGAAGAGTCTGCCTAAAAAACTCTTATCCCACTTATATCTACTTAATTCATTAGTTCTTAACAATTATATTTAGATTACTTTCTAAAATTTTCAAAAATTTCACAAGACAGTAAAAGTCAGTTATTATCTGGAGGTATTTTTTTTCTGCTCACAGATTTTGCAACGCAGATAACAAGAATTTATTTCACCAATAAAATCAGGTAGAATAAAGGCATTGTATTTCATTTTCATAACTCTAAAGACATTCCAATTTAACCAAACCATTCTCAAACCAGCTTTAATATCAAACATTTTCCCAGATCACATGGTCCTGAAAAGCATTTAGGTTAGTTTCTGCCATAGTTTTGAGAATTTTTTACATGCATTTGTTTAAGTCAATTGAGTAGAGCTTTTTAACAAATGGCTTTGTCATCTGGGGGTAGAAAATACCCCCCACACATGAACATACAGACACAAACAGATCTCCTGGCCTTCACTTCAAAAATGCTGCCATGAGACAGGTAAAGTGGCTCTTTACCCGGAGTGGAAGGTTATCCACTCAGATGGTTAAGGCCTTTTCATATGAATATTTGTGAAGAGACGATTAAGATTTGTATTTGTCCTTGGAGCCAGAGAAGCAATTTGTACTTTCAAAGTAATCCTTATCTTCTTCTTCTTCTTTTTTTTCTAGTATTAGGAATTGGAGATGATAACGATGGGAGAAGGGCTTTGAACTGCTTCCAGAGCTTCGTTTCTGGTTTGATAAGATTTGTGAGATTGGAACCACTGCTCTGAAACCTGGGTTGTAACTCGATGCTATCTCGGGCTGACCTACCTGTCTAACTACACAGTCCCTAATTTGCTTCTTACGCTCTGGATATGTGGTCTTATTTCCTTTGGGGAGGAGGCAGAATTCTCCTTGGGTTTAAGAAATCCTGTCGCCCTTCGCCCTTCGGTTGGCCTGGGACCAAGGAGTGAGAGACATCACAGGACAATCACCTGGAAGGGGAAGGTCAGTTTCAGAGTCTTCTGTCTTAGGTGCCCTTTATCTTTCAATGAAGTGACTCAGTTTTTTATCTAGCATATCTAACTAACATTACTTGAAGGGTGGATTCAGGTTGTCTTGTTTGCAATATTAGTCAAGGGACCGTCCCCCAGTGAGACACAATGTCTATTCCAAATGTAATCAGGCCGAAGAAAGGTAATCACTTTGGGAAAAGCCTATTAAAATAGGCCTTTATCTTAATTTCATCAACTCTAACTCACTTAACTACAGCCTCTATTAGGAACATCTGTGGGTTTTGATCATAAAGACCAAGCTGTCAGGACATAACAAGACAAAAGGAGAGGTACCAGACAGACAGAGGAAAACAAAACCACCAACATTTACTGGGTGGCGTCCACCCACCCAGGACCACCTTGTGAACCCAGACCCAGACCTGGGCCTGCACCTGGTCCCAGGTACCAGCCTGGGCCCAGCGTGCCGCACCGGCTCCCCACCTCACCCTGGATAAGAAAATCCCTGAGGAAAGGACAAGAAAAATGGATGGCTACTTTTCGTTTCAGTTTGCTTGGATTGCCGACTGAAAGTCTGAACAAATCCTTGCTGGTTGAACGAGAGACAGAATGAATCTGTTTGGCTCCGAAAGAAAAAAGGACCCAGAACAGCCGACGCGGTGACGACAGAGGCTGCAGATCCCCGGTCCCGAGCGGTGGAGACGGGCTCTGGGAGCCGTGCTGTGAGGTCCTGGGACCAATCCTGAGAAGCCAGTGGGCGTCCCACGGGTGGGGTGCGGGGGGAGGGGGGGAGGTCTGTGAGAAGGGCAGGGGGGCCGTGCCTTGGAGACCGTCGTGGTTCCGGTGGCATCGGTGAGCTCCCCCGGCCCTTGCTCGGGCACTTTTAGATGACTGAGAATCTTTGAGGGGTCTCTGGAGGAAAACTTTCCTCTAGGGCATGAAGCGGTCCTACTGGGATGTCCACTGCCTTTGGGTCGCCCGGAGACGTGCACACACAGGCTGGTTTTCCCTGGAAGTTTGTGCAGAGCCTAGAGACCTAAAGAACATCACGGGAAGTTGTGCCTCGGGGCGACAAGTGCTGAGACAGGCAGCCTCCCATTTGCACTAAGATGGCTGAAAGGAGGATCCTTTGATACTTCTAACTTCACCTTCTGCACCAACGATTAGAAAAAAGCCAGCTTTGAAATTAGTCATGATCTCCTGAAGCTTCAAAAAGAGGATTACTGGCGCATTTGCAATGCACGTTAACCTAGATGCGCAAGAACAATGGACAGGGCTTGTTTAAGGCAAAGACAAACCTTTTGCTGAAAAGTGATGTGCCTGGGGCACCACTACCCACCCTGACCTATCCAGATAGACATCTATGATCAGATCACCCTGGGAGACCACTCTCTGCCCCTGGACTTTCCATCAGCTTCTTTACAGAGCCCCCCTTTCACCCACATAATCCAAACTTTTTTAAAAAGGACTCTCCCCACTCTGCCTCGAGTGCACTCTGCAGGTGGAGATGTGAGAGTCTGACTCTTCGGAAATGCCCATCGTGCCCTGACTGGTGCAGCTCAGGGGACTGGGCGTGGTTCTGCGAACCGAAAGGCCGCTGGTTCATTCCCCGTCACGCACAGGCCCAGGTTGCGGGCCAGGTCTCCAGTTGGAGGCATGTGAGAGGCAACCGATTGATGTTTCTCTCCCTCCCTCTGGTCCCCTCTCTCTAAAAATGAATAAATAACATTTTTTGTTAAAAAATGCCCATCTTTGCCGGCTCAAGTGAGTGGTCCCAGGGTCCTTCTAGGGAGCAGCTTCCGGGGAGCAGGGCTCCGCTGGTGAGGGGTCCTGCTCACGGCCCCGACTGTGGGGGAGGAAGAAACCGCCCTCTGCCATCCTAGGTTCCTTCAGCCGGTCTGCTAAATTAAATCTGCATGAGACAGAGTAGCAAGAGAAAATCAGCAAGTTTAATCACATGCATGAGACAGAGACCCCACACACAGGAGAGGTTCTGAGACAGAAGGAGAACATGAATGTCGATGTAAGGATGCCCAAACCTGTAGAACATTATAAACAACGTATCTGAACCAAAGAGAGGATGCACCTGGGATCGAGACCTCGACGGACTGAAGTGAATGCTTCCAGGAATGACCGTGTGCAGGAAGGGGTGGTGGCTGTGTTTGAAATCAAGGCGAAGATAAACGTTTCTACTAAAGAAGGACTGTGCCCGGGGCATGACTACCAACCAGGACCTGCCCAGGCAGGAATGTACAATCAGACCACCGTGCGAGGTGACCTTCCACGGAACCCCTTCTCCACCCACAAGGCCTGGGTGACATCTGACACAGGGGAGGGCCGTTGCCTTGGGACCTCAGAGGGCAGGAAGGAAGGACACTGCAGAGCCATAAGAAGAGCAAACATTTAGCAGTTAGTAGTAGGCCCTGCCCTAATAGGTCCTAAAAAGTCATTTCTGATAATAACTATAATTATGGGCGAGGCCCCTAATTTAAATTCTTCTCGGTAGTTAAGGGGATTGGAGGGAGGAGGGTCTTGAGCCCACAGGGTCTCCGTCGTCTTGAACTCAGAATTACCCACATGTCACGGAGGCATAATTTAGGTGACTCATCCTGAACGCCTACACCTCTTCGGCACAACAACGATTCTGAGCGAAGGTCATTAAGCGGCAGCAGACACGGGAGAAGTTCTGTCTGCCCTCCCCTTGTCTGCCTAAAGACAGGACATAAATTCTTCTTGTACTGGAGACAGACTCATATCAGCCCAGGCTCGTAACTGCACCGGAGGAATCTGCAAACAAACCTCCTTCCGTCGGTCTCCAGCCGCCTTCTATTTACCTTCCCTCAGAAGGTACGCCCCCTTCAGGAGCTGGAAACTGCTCTCCTTGGGCCTGTCTATTCTCTGCAGAATTTTGTTCTTTGTTGAAGGTGCTGAGAAGCCAGGATTCTAAGCCACCAGCTGCACGTCCCCTGTCGCTGAGGCTGCTCCCCCATGCCATGCACTGCATGAGTTAACAACCTGCGTTCCTGTCTAGTTAACCTGTTGCTAAAGAGCCCCAGTGTGACCCCTGAGGTGGTAAGGTTTTGCATCCCCTACTCAGGAGTGAGGCAAGGACTTGGGGACAGGGCATTGATCTGAGAGGTGGTCTAGGACACACGTTGGGACAGGGGAGGGAGAAAATGCCAGCAAATGGCCTGCTCCCGAGGGAGTGGGCCTCTGGGGCCCCATCCTGCTGGGAACTCGGAGAAACTGCCAGGTGCTTCCGAACTGGCCCGACAGGGCGAGTCTGTTGGAGCAAGGAGGTGGTGACAGCGCCCTGAGCTCACCCACATCCGCCCTGCTTGGGTTGTCCGTGGGGGCGTATCTGGTCAGATTATATCCCAGTCCTCCAGCTTGCAGCCCAGCCAGCTCCCGGGGGCTGGGAACTAGCCAGCACAGACCCCTGTCTCTTCCTCCCCAGGATCATTCGCTCTGTCCCAGCTCTTCCTTGCCTCCCTTTAACCTCAGCTTGTCCCTGTGGCCCCCATTGGACTTCCCTCTGCTGAGCGCCCAGTAGTTGCCCCATCAGTGCCACTGCACGGTCCTTATTCGCTTCTCCGCCGCCTTCTCCCTTGCGCCTGTTGCTCCCCCACCACCACTGCTGTTCTCTGCTGCCACCACCTTTAGAGGCTTCAAGCCATGTCCTTGCCAGCTCACACAGCAGTGAGACTTCTGAAATATGATTCTGTCTTTATACTTTGGGTTAAAAAAAAGGTAATCTACCATTAAAAAAGAATGTCAGACATGACCTCTCAATGCCAAGGGCATTAAGTACCTTGTGCACTTCGCAGGTCTGAGCCGTGTGGCCAGCACGGCCGTGGAGAATCACAGCACAGGGCAAAGGCAGTGGGAGCACAGGGTCCTCAGCCTCTCGGATGCTGCTGTCGGTGTAAGGAGTGTCCCAACCCGGAGAGAATGTCTATAGGCATTTACCTGAGCCAAACTGACTCATGTGCCAGGGAGCAATGCCTCAGATGCTCTGGAGAGTAACCGTTTGCAGCTTCTTTTCTGCCTTTGACATTAAGGAGGGAACGTACCTCAAGATGGGAGAAAGCAAGGCGGGGGTTGGATAGTTCATAAGATTATGCACTCTCTTGAGGGCTGGCTACTTCTGGTATTTAGAAGGTGCATTAACCTAGATGCACAGGAACAGTGGACATGAAGCAGAACAGTAAGAAGCTAGGAGAATTCCATGGCAAGTGGAATGGGGAAACTGAGACAGCCGAACAAACGGGTCCAGCAATTTACAGTCTGATAATAAAACACAACGTCTTCGGTTCCCTAACCAAGGGCACCTAGGACCACGTGGTTTACACACTCCAGACCGTGCAGAGGCAGACCCGCCTTGGTCCCGGTCCCTCTTTGGTGGCGTTCTGTGAATGGCCCTGACCCCTCTGTCCGCTCATTTTGATGGATCAGCATACTGGAGGGCACACCTGGAAAAGCTGATGAATACACGTTATTGAGGTCCTCCCCTAGCACCTCCCCTAAAATTTCTACTTTTCCTCCGGCACACGTACTTTTGGTCCCTGTCTCCTAAACTCCAAATGTCCCCACAAAACTTGCAACCAGGGGAGCGGTGGGCAGCGGCAGCTCGTCCCAGGCTCACCCCCTGAAACCTGTCTCCAAGGCCCCCCTTTCTCTGGCTTTTCGGTGAGCCCACAGCGCCCCCACTTTGTCCCCGTTCTGTCTCTGTGACTTTCACCTCTCCGTGAGTCCATGCAGCCTCACGTGGCTCACGTCTTTCCTACAACACTTCCGGAGGGCCAGAGCAGCACGGATGACCCAAAGCTTCCTGGCTGGCAAGCTGGTGTCGCAAGGCAGTCTGCACCATCTCGAGCCCCTGAGAGGGGCTTGAAGAGAATCCCTTGGAGACTAGACATGAAGGACTCGGGGCTGCTACCACAGCCAGAGAACCTGTAGGCTGTGGGTTGTAGGAACCTGGGAACCTCAGGAAACGATATGCCTATAGTGGGAATGGCCGACTTCCAGAGTCGCGTGGGACAAGAACGGATATGCATCTCCCTTTGGCCAGAAGCGGGCTTGCTCAAGGGAGCCGGACAGATCTTCTTGAGGGAGGCTCTGCCCCAGAGAACCGCGTGGAAGTCCCGCAGGGGAAGGGATCAATGCAGAAAGGGGAGCCCTGTGCTGGTCACCGGTTGGCCAGCAGGGGGAGTCATTGCCCGCTTCAAGGCGGCTGTAGGCGCCAGAAACCCAGCAATGGCAGAACCCCTGAGAAGCCGCTCCGAACTGGTTCCCAGGGAAAAGAACGCAGCAACTGAGCTTCTGCCCCGTGCAGAGAACACCGGGCCCAAATTAGAATGCAATCGGTCAAGCAAAGCCTTTCCTGCCCCTTATTCCCTCCCCTCCCCTGACCAGTCTAGCCCTGCGGAGACCCAAGAGAGCCAGCAGTAAAGGAGGAAAAAGACTGAAACGGAAAGAAAATCAATCAGACGGTTCTCCCGCTGGTCCCCAGTCTAGGGCAGGCCCCAGTGGCAGACGGGGAGAGGATTTCAGTGCAACAGCGTATCACGTATTGGGGCCGATGAGACTTTTTCTGGTTGCTAAAAGGAGTCTTTTTCTTGTGACTGCAGGAGCCCGAAATGCCCAGCCCTCCCGCAACCGAAGCCGAGGCCGGTTCAGCCCACGCTGCAGCGCCCATGCCCTCAGCACTGAGGCCCTGCGGAGGCCTGTTTTGAGGGTACCTGCGACTCTGGCTAAGGCTTTTATCAGGCCAGGGAGGGCGCCCAGCCTCGAGCAAGGCAAAGGAACGTGCTGCCGAGCTCCAGTGCGGGGAAGCAGCCCTCCATGCCCGAGTCACAGAAGGCCGTGTGTGGGGCAAGTACCACAGCGTCCTGGCTGCCCATGCGGGTGGCTCTGTGCTGCCTGAAAACTCACTTTTCTTCTTAACATATGTTTTGTTTTTAATTTTTCCATTCCAATTTACATTCAGTATTATTCTATATGGAATTCAGGTGTGCAGGATAGTGGTGAGAAGACCAGGTACTTTGCAGAGTGGTCCCTGCTTTCAAGTAGCCACCCGGCCCCAAACACAGTTGTCACGGTTTTACTGTGTTCCCGTGCTGTCCTGTACATCTTTGTCACTGTCCTGTGGCTGCCAATGTGTACTTCCCACCCCTTCACGTTTTTCCCCCGTCCATCCACAGCCCCCCTCCGCTGGCAACTGTCGGTCTGTTCTCTGTGTCTGTGAGTCCCTCTGCTTGGTTTGGTTTGTTCTTTAGATTCCACATATAAGTGCAATCATATGGTGTTCGTCTTTCTCTGACTGACTGTTTCACTGAGCATAATACCCTCGAGGGCTGTCTGTGCTGTTGTAGATGGTAAGGTTTCGTTCTTTCATTATGGCCGAGTAGTATTCCACTCTGTATATGTAGCCCAGATTTTTTATCCACTCGTCGATGGAAAGGCACTTGGGCTGCTTCCACAGCGTGGCTGTTGTAAATAATGCGGCAATGAACACAGGCGTGCCTAGGTTCTTTCGAACTAGTGTTTGGGGTCTCTTGGGATATTGGCTCACATTCCCCATCTCACTTCCTCACCCCCTACCTGTGTGAACTGGAATTGCCTCCATACAAATTGCTTGTGCTCACATTCATGTCTCAGGGTCTGTTTCTGGGGAGACCCAAACCAAAACAGCAGGAAGAGATCAGTGGATTTCACAGAGCAGGTTGGAACTGGCATTAGGAGAAACGTCGGTTCCTTCCTGCATGTCCATTCAATACAGGAATCGCACTGGCATTCTGGTTTTTAGTCACACCAGTTTTCTGCCCGAAACCTGGGGACTGGAGGCAGCGGGGCTTTCCGTCCCCTTCTGTGTGCTCATCACATCTTGAAACTAAATCTAAATAGAGTCTGATACCCATCACGACTCTTCTGGCTTCTTCCTGCCTACTGAACTTTCCACTTCCTCCCGTGGTGCCCTTGGGCTGGAATGCATTGCACAGTGGGGCACAGGTTGTGTGGGGCACCGTTCGTAGAGGGGGGTCGGTAGCTGATCCGTGTCAGGGTAGCTAGCTCCCAACAGCCCAATAGCCTTATTAGTTTGTTTTTATATTTTCTGGTGAAAGTGTAATTTACATACAGTAAAATTCAATCATTTTCATGTACAGTTCTGACACTTTTGTTTTGCATTAATTATTATGATTTATTTACAGAGAAAGGGGAATAGAGGGAGGAAGAGAGGAAGAGAAACAGCCATGTGAGAGAGAAGCATCGATCGGTTGCCTCCTGCACGTGCCCTGACCAGGGACTGAACCTGAAGCCCAGGCACATGCCCTGACCCGGAATCAAACCGGCGACCTTTAGCTCTGCGGGCCAATGCCAAACACACTGAGCCACCAGTCAGGGCTGTTATGCTTTTTAGATAAATTTTGTTGTGAAGTATAACTTTTATATTAAAGGGCATAAAACAAATATATAGCTGGATGGATTGTCACAAAGTAGACCAGCTTCTAACACATTCATGCAGTCACAGGGCCACCACTAAAGCCAAGATATTCCCTCCCATCATGCTTAGTGACTTAACTTTCACGTTTGGAATGATTTGTCTCAAGCTAATTAACGTATACTGTGTGAAGTAGGGGTCAAGGTTAATCTTTCCATACGAATGCTCAATTGACCTACATCCTTTATGGGGGTGGGGGGGATTGTTCCTGACTGACTTGAGGACAGTTTCTTGACGCTTTTGTCTGTTCCATCTGTCCACTTGTCTATTCTTCTGCTGCTGCCAGGCTGTCTTTCTCACCGCAGCTTTAGAGTAAATCTAGAAATCAGGAGGTACAAGTCCTCCCGCTTCGTTCTGCTCCAGAATCGCCTTGACGATTCTAAATCACTTGCACCTCCATACAGATTTCAGGATCCTCTTCTCAGTTACCACAAAATGACCCACTGGAGTCTTCACTGGAGTTGCCCTGGATGTATAGGTTAACTTAAGAAGAAATGACATTTAGTTCATAACAATATGTAGTCTTTCAACCCGTAAATCATGTAGAGATTATCACTTGTTTGGGCTTTCTTTAAATTTTCCCAGTAACTATGTCCAGTGTTTTCACTGTAGAAATCTTAACATCTTTTATCAGACGTATTCCTTGCTATTTGATATTTTCTGATAGCTTCTCATAGCCAGGACTAGAGTGAGTTAAGAGAAGCGCAGAGTGAATGGGTGCTTTCTTAAGTGTTGCACGCTGGACTCCTCTTTTGCCTCGCCCTACCCCCAACCCTGGTTGTTCTACATGATACTACTCTGAGTTTTTATTTATATTAATTCGTTTCCAGTGCACAAAAATTCAGTGTATTCTATATACAGACTTTGTATCCAGCAGGCTTGGTAGCCCTGACTCTTAACTCCCAGAGGGGAGAGTGGGGCACCCGTGGCTCGAAAGCTCAGCGACAAGCAGATTCAGAAGGTGCAGCCCCACAGGCTAAACAAGAATGGAGTGTCTGTGTTTCCAGGGATCTAGGCCCTGGCCCCCGAAGCTCCCTATTACATCCTTCTGAGTCACTCACCTGGCTCCCAGTGCATCATGGGCAACTGGAGATCCAGGAAGCGGACCAGAAATCAGAGCCAGAGAGCTGGGGAAAGGCAGGCATGAGGAGGGCTGGGAGCTAGCTTCTGTGAGTCCACGGAAGCCAGGAGTCTGTTCACCCGTCTCCCTGTCTACCACCTCTTTATCGTCCCATGCTTTGGGGATCCGTACAAAGGAGAAGTGGGGGGATGCACAAAACTGCCTACAATTCTGTAAGATGAAATTAATCTATAAGAAAATGGAAGGGGAAACGGGAGATGGACATAAACTGAAACAAGGCAGGGGTGAGCAAACCTGGGCAGACAAACAGGTCCGGCCCAGAAACAGCCAAAGGCAATGCTAAGGCCCAAACCAGACAGAGATTTGGGAGCCAACACAAGGCTCTGCCTTATACCCTTGAGAGCCCACATTGGTTTCGACCACCATCCCCTCCTGTCTGGGCGGCTGGGTTTGCCTCTCTGTTCTCGCGGTGCCAGCGCTCCCCACGCCCACCATCTGCTACCCAGACAGCAACCAGTGACCTTCTGAAAACCCAGCTGAACCCTAGACTGGCAGAAAACATCTGCAAGTCATTCCTGCGATGAAGGTCTAATATCCAAAATATTTGAAGAACGCTGACAACTCATCCATGAAAGACAGCCCAGTTCAAAATGGGAAATAGACTTTTCTCCAGAGAAGAACTACGAATGGCCAACAAGCACATGAAAAGATGCTCGACCGTATCAGCCGTCAGGGAAAAGCAAAGCGAATCCACCATGGAATGCCATTTGGTGCCCCCTAGGGTGACTGTGGTCCTAAAGGCAGACAAGAGCAAGTACTGGTGTGGATGTGGAGAAACTGGAACCCGCACACTCTGCTGGTGGGAACTTTAATGGTGCAATCGCTGTGGGAAACAGTTTGGCAGTTCCTCAAAACGTTCACACAGAGTTACCACATGACCCAACAATTCTGCTCATGGGTACATATTCAGAATCATTGGGATACTACAGTGACATGAAAGGGAAAATCGATTGCTGTCTGCAACATGGATGAATCTAATATAGTGTTGCATTGAAGAAACTACAACAAACGAATACAAATTGTATGATTCCTTCTCTGCAAAGGTCAAAAAGAGGCAAAACTCACCTTCTGGCCCATATCAAAAGTATGGGAAGGGACCATGTATGGGAAGTATGGGAAGGCCCTTGGGCCTTGGGAATGGCAAGAATCAGGCCTCAGGCACCACTGGGGCTGGGCTGTCCTTGCCTTTTGTCTCTGTGTCTACTTAGAAGTCAGCTGTAGTGTCTCCAAAAGGGTTTCTCAGAAACCCTTAGTACAGAAATCACAGCCCTGGCCCGCTCTGGACGCACCCATTTCCAACCTTCTCATCTGGAACGAAACCTCTCTCCCCTCACTTCCCTTCAGAAAGTGCTGGGGAAGGCTTCTGATCAGCTGGAGGCTGTGTTTACTGGCCCTTGCCTACGCAGGGAAAGGGTATCATAGGTAGGTGGCTCCCACTAGAACCCAACAGTTGGAGTTGGGGAGAGGGAAGAGTGTTCTCCCAGGGGGATATGCTGTTTCCAAAAGACGGTGGGACAGTAGACAGACATTTCATCAATGCGCGTGTCATTCGGGCCCCTCCTTTCCTGGAACTCCCCCAACTGGTGACTCCTGTGCTTTCCAGACCAACAGTCTATGGCCTCTGTCTTCTCCTCGGTTCGTCCTTGTGTTGCGAAGGTGCCTTGAGTCTTGTAGGCAGGCTGGGAAACACCCTCCTGGGTATAGTCAAGATGAACAGCCACTTCTTGTGCCCAGTGGCCTTTTCTGCCTTTAAGAAATCCACAGGCTGAAGCGTAACGGTGCTTGGTTCAGTCGGTTTGGCAATGCCTGCCAAATGGTAAGTGTCTGTATCCCCGACCCGGCATCTCTGTTTCTGCACTCACAGCAACACTCACACGTACACAAAAGCATATGTGTAAGGATATGCATTGCAGTATTATTTATATAAAGGAAAAAAAGTGTTGAAAGGAGCTGAATTCCAAGTATCTACAAACAGGAAGTTCATTACTAAACGATTATTCATATACTAGGTCTGTCTGGAGGAGGTCCAGCCATTGTTAATATAATGAGAATGGTTTGTGCGACATCGATGTGACCTGGCAGCCAGGGAGAGTGGACTGGAATGCACATGGGTGAACAATGACGACTTCACTGTACTAGTCGGTGGGGGCCATAGACACCATGGAGTGAGCATGTGCACTGTGTGACTGTCACGTTCAAAATGACCGAGCGAGTAGAGCGACGAATCTGCATCAAATTTTGTGTTAAGCTTGAACATTCCTCCGTGATAACTGTTCGGATGATTCAGAAGGCCGCAGCTGCAGGCAACTGGTGGTTGGCATCTTCATCACGACAACGTGCCCCTGCTCATGCATCACGTCTCATGCAGAGTGTTTTGGCAAAACCTATAATCACTCAGGTGACTCAGCCCCACTACAACCCAGATTTGGCACCCTGTGACTTCTGGCTTTTTCCAAACCGAAAATCACCTTTGAAAGGGAAGAGATTCCAGACCATCAATGAGATTCAAGAAAATATGATGGGGCAGCTGATGGTGATTAGGAAGGTGAGCTGTGTGAGGTCCCAAGGTGCCTACTTTGAAGGGGACTGAGGCATCATTGTCCTGTGTACAGTGTTTCTTGTGTCTTGTACATTCTTCAGTAAATGTCCCCGTTTTTCATATTACATGGATGGATACCTTCCGGACAGACCTCATACACAACGAACACTGTACAATTGCTTAAAAAATGAGATCCTAATACTGAAACCAGTGCAAGATATGCTTTGTTTGAAAAGCAAGTTGCAAACAATATTTATGGTAACAGCGATAAGAGTGATGACAATAATGTCACCTGTGTTAGTAGCGCAGAGAAAAAATCTGAGCGCTATCCCCCCCAAAGCACCGTATTAACAGTAGCCCCTGGCACTGGGGGAGGGGGCCTGTTGCAGATGTACGAGACACTTGCATCTTCCAAAGTATTATGTTTCCATAGTATTTGAGTTTTTACAAAGAAAATGTATTTCTTTAGGATGTAAAAACATGAAGTAATGATTTTTTTTTCTTCAAGAGAGGGTCTTGCAAGTTGGGGCCGTGGGACAGATGCGGTCCGGTTGCCTTTCGGGTGGATGTCACGTGTCCACAAGGTCATTTCAGAATGCAGACTTATCTCCCCGCTCACTGACCCATAACACAGCGGACTAAATGTTTGACATGGGAAAACTCTCGGGGACAAAAGAGCTCATTCAAGCAGATCTAACAGCCATGAGCTCTCTCATAATCAGCAGAGAGGCAGGCGTCGCAGTGCCTGTGCTGGGGGCAGGGAGAGGCTGGGCAGGGACAGCCACGGGCTGGAAAGGTGACTTAACTCTTTTCTCCTACCACCAACTCCAGTGGCCCCGGCTTTGCTGAAAACAGAGCACCCACGCCGGTTTAAATGTGGGGCAGTCTGGGGAGGAGGCCCCCAAGGACAGTCAGGAAGCTGTGGCAGGGAGGAAGGAAGCCAGGCCCTTCTCAGGGCTTCAAAGGAGCCCTCGTAATTAGAGAAAACGCGGAGGGTGAGGTGCGTGCGTTTTGACGGTGGGTGGTTGAAAAAAGTGCTGTTGAAAAGAAGGCCTGTGTTAGCGCGCCCGGCGTGCAGGAACTGCCTCCTGAGCTTTTCTGCCCTAACTGCCTCCCAGGCTTTTCTGGCCCGAGGCAGATTCTCGAAATCAAACGGTGGCAACAGCAATGCCTGACTTGCCAGCTGAGCTCTCCTCTTCCAAACCTTATTGGAGCTGCACGGCCTTCGAGGGGCACAGGGGAGCCATCCGGTGTGGGAACCAGGGGACCAAGGGCCACGTGCCTGGCGCCCAGCCCCCTCCTAAGGCCCGTCTGACCTTGCAGGCCACGATGAGTCCGCTTCCGTCGGAGGCCCAGCTTAGACTCAAGTGGACTCCCTCCACCATGTATCTGGCTGTTACTTTAGAGCATTTTTGTCCTCTCTTTGTGGGAGGAGCAGGGAAGGAGGCATTTCCACAGCTCCCCACATGAACACACACACGTCCGCCGCTCTTTTGTACGGGGCGGCTGGGTGGGCCCGACACTGGTTCCCCGCTGGTCGTAATCCCATCAAAGCTCATCAGAAACGTGTCTATGCGTTTTGTCAAGAATGCTGGTCCCTCCTGAGAAGGAAGTCGTTGATTGCATCACACAAAAATAGTTCTGTCCCAGACCAGCCTGGGAACAATTTTTCTCTCACAGACGGTTGGCATACATAAAAATCGCAGAGGAGGGTGGAGAGTAGACCCCCTCCACACCCCAGGTTTGTCCACGTGACCCCTCTCCCAGAACTGTCTGCCCCACTGGGGCCACTGGTTGCCTTTGGTCACACCAGGATGGAAGACCCAGGGACAGTGTGACCACCTCCCCCAGGGCCTCCCTAAGGACAAGGTGGGTGAACTTGAGAATAGAAGAACTTCCCTCCCATTTCCAGGGTGAACACTCCAATTTGGGAGCCGCCTCCTTTGCTGAGAGTTTGAGAAGACCGATGGCCCACCCCACCACAGTGACAAAGTAGGCGTCCCTGTTCTTAAAGAGTTCCTTGGCCATTCAGCCAGCAGTCACTCCAGACTCACCCCTCACCCCCTTTGCTGATGCTCTGATCCACCCCCACCTCCAAAAATATTTCCCCCACTTTATTATGCAGAGCAATTCCGTGCTTTACTTCCTACCACTGACCTGCTTTGCATATTCAAAGACTTTGCTGCGCTCTTCCAGTAAAGGGGTGTCTTATCCAAGCCAAGCGTGCCCTCTCTTCCGGCCCTTCCCTGCTTTTGAGGAAGGAGGTGGGGGGTGGGCAGATACATGACCGCATACTCACCACCACCGTTTCTCCTGTAAGGCCCTGGTTCTCTAGATAGGATCTTGAGGTTTGCCTTTTGCAAGGGGGAAGTGACTCTTTGATGTGACCGAAGCCACCAGCCCCCCCACATATACACTCAGTGGTTGTCCCCTTCTACCTTCTCTGACGCGCTCAGCATGCATCGCAGCAAAGGTTGAGGTCCGTCCCCCCGAGGACCCGCCTCTCCCTCCAGTGTCTGGACCCTTCAGAGGAGCACATCAACGTGGATGCTTCTAGAGAAGGGAGGAGGAGGAAAACAGAATGAGCCAAACATGCACTGGGCTGTGGTGGGGGGAGGTCCCAGTGACGGTGGACCTCCTGCAATTGCTGAAGGGTCTGCCATGAGGCAGAAAGGGGGCTGGAGACAGAGGCTGAGTTGTAGAATTATTAAACTCTTTTCTGATTCGCACACATGAATCTAGCTTTGAAATAGAATTTGCTGCTCTACCAATTAAAGATATGTTCATTAATCTTTATTAAGTACCTAATATAATTCAGGAACTGCTGGGTACTGAAGATAAAACACAGAGAAACCGACAGATACTCACAATGACAGGCCGACTCCCCAGGTCGGGAGTCACAGAAGGTATCCCCAGGGTGTGACCCTGTGCAGCAAACACAATAAACATTTCCAGAGAGAGGGAGGGAGGGAGGATAGAAAGGAGGGAGGAAGGAAGGCAAGGAGGGAGGGAGGGAGGGAAAAGGAAACTAGAAGATAGTGAGTAACATAAACATTGAAAAAACTCAGGCAGAGTAGGAGTTAGGAGGAAAAAAAAAAGGTTTGAGGCCGAAAGGTGTTCCAGGGAGAAAGAGCAGGTGCAAAGGTGAGGGGTTCCAAGAAAGCAAAGTCCAGGGCCCTCAGGTGGAGACTCCCAGGGGCCTGGACCCTGAGGTCCGAGAGGTGGACCGGTGGGAGCGGGAGCCAACAAGCGCAGCACAGGGGAAAGGCCTGTTTGCCCAGGAATCGGTAAGGAATCTGGAAGGCTCTCCAAAGTGCCCGGGGCACCACTGAGTAACTGCAACGACCCTGGGATCCCCCACCGAGCAGTGACTGGCCTCTCACCAGGGCAGCCCCCAAGTTTCCAAGAAACTCGTGTCCCGGACTGTAATCCCCTGGTTTCTCCCCTGGTGGAAACACCCAGACAGACAAGGTGAGAATCCATCTGAATCCCCTGTGGCTGGGCGGGGCCAGCACGGTGGCATTCGTGGGGCAGAGGGTGCTAGGCAGTGGACCTGCCTGGCCCTCACCCAGGGTCCCCGCTCTGGACAAGGGGCTACAGAGGGCTGGGCCCACTGGGCACCAGCCCTGCCCAGGGGGTTAAGGAAGGGATGGGAGCAGAAAGGGCACAAAAAGCCATCTAGTTCGGCTCCAAAATAGGCTGACACTCAGCCCTCAGAGCCCCTTCCGCAGCCTGCGACAGGCGCACTTCCATGGTGATGGCAGCTCCCACAGCCCGAGCGCCAGCCCGGTGCCAGGACAGAGCCAACTCCTCCCAGCGTCCTGCTTCATGCCCTCGGTGACCAGAGTGCAGTTACTGGTCCCTAATTACTACTGGCTGTTGTCATGTTCACTCTGCCCCGCCCCCGCCCTGCCGGTCGCCTTGTCAGTGGCTCACACAGCCCAGCTCGGGGCCGCCCGCGCCAAGGACTCCAGGGCCCACTCTCTGTCGTGGCTTCTGTGGGCGCAAAGGCCTTTCTGCTTCTTGTTGGGGAGGAAACAGGGCTGTGCCTGGCGCACCTTCCCCTCCTGGCCACGGCAGGCTCTGGTGGGGCCTCTGGAAGGAGCCGCTCCGTGAAGGGAAGAAGCCAGCCTTCTGCTGGGCAGGGGTCCCCAAAAGGGAGCAGTGGGGGAGTGGCAGCCTCTGTTCCCCACACTGGGGCAGGTGTCCTCTCAGTGGCCTTTGTGCCCAAAGCACAGTTCTCTGCCACAGCCCTGTGGTGACAGGAATAGATGCCCCACAAAGACCCTTTCTGGGGCCACCAGTCCCCCTCTAAGTGTAGTTCCCATCCCAGCCTTGGGGCCCCCCGGGAAAAGCAATGTCCCCTTCAACCTCTTCCAGAAGAAGTGCCTCCTCCTCTCTCTGACCCTTCTGTGACCTGCACACCTGACCTGCACACCTGCCTGGCAGGGAGAGACTCGGGTCACCTGCTTCCTCCCAGAGCTCCAGTGATCCCTCAGCAGCCTGGACGTGGCGCAAACAGCAGCTGCACAGGGCAGGCCTTTCAGAGGCTGTCACAGGTGTGCCCCCGAGAGCCTTGGCCACGGTCCCGGGGACCACAGCCACACCTTGGAAACCTGCCCCGGTCTCCAGCTCCCACTGAGACCGGCTCTGCCTGGCCCCGTGTGTCCCCCACACCCACAGCCAGGCCTCTGCTGCCCTCCCTGGGGGCCCGCCCACCCACCGCTGGTTTCCCCGTCTCTCTTCTACCCCTCCCCCCACCCGGGGCAGGACAACACTCAGGCTCCCCTCCCAGACTCTTCCCACTCCCCCCACCCCACCCCCTTGCCCCCGTGCACCCCCTGCCCACCCAGCTTTCTCAAAGCACCTCACGGAGTCAGTAACCCCAACCTGCAGAGCCAATCTACTTCAGGCCTGGGGTCCTCTCATTCTGCCCCTCCCAGCTACAGGTTGCCAGAGGTGTCCCGCAGTCACGAGGTCTGTGTCACCCACCTCCCAGGGGCGACAGAAAGCACCTTCTCAGAACACAGCAGGCTCCAGTTTCTGGAACTGCAGAGTCATTCAGAAAATGGGAAACAAGGTGTCGGGTGTCTGATAAGTGCAGATAGGGGTTTGGAGGGGCTGCGGGTCGGCGGGGGTGGGGGGAGGAACAGCAGGGAAGGCAGTCACACGAATTTTTCCTCAGAACAGCCCAGAAAGCAGCCCACAAAGTAGGATAAGTGTGGGTGGGAGGCGAGAGCTCTGCCAGGAGAGCCGTACCAGGGACACCCCCTCCACGTAACCGTCCTCCAGCAGCCGGTGCCAAGCCCAGGCCCCGCGGGCCACAGCGCGAGAGGACCCACGGGTGTGCAGCCAGAGGCCTTGGCCTGGTTGTGGTTGGCGGGCTCTGGAGCTGGGGGCCTGCCACTTACTTCCTCCCCGCCCCCCCCCGTGAGTGGGCGTGGCCCTGGGCAGCCTCCTCCTGCCCTCTGGCATCCCACCAAGGCCCCCCGGCCCACCTGCCTCCGCGGCCCGGCCTACTGACATCACTGGCCTCTTCCTATGCCAACCACCTTCCTGCCGGCCACCTGGGGACTATGACAGGGGGGCGGACTCACTGACAGGCGCAGGTGGTGCTCAGGGCACGTGTACCCTCCCCCTCACGCACATACCTGCACCCCCACCGCCCACACACACACAGAGGACACATCAGACATGGGGGGCATGCCGCCCCTGCCTGGATTGGCCACACTCACACAGGGGAGAGGTGGGCCTGGGGAGAGCGTGGAGAAGGGCCTGCTGGCTCATCTTCATCTGGATTCTGTCCTGCAGAGGGCCTTGGGGCTGTGAGGCCGGCAGGGGAAGGAAGAGGCTCCCAGCCAGACTCCCAGAGCCAGGGGGCTGGTCCCACGGTGCCTCCTCGGGGGTTTTTGCAGCACAAAGGGGAAACAGCCCCACGCTGGCGCTCATGAGGAAAGGAAGTGGGGGCCCTGGTGGCCAGAGGGAAGTGGTCCCCAGAGCAGAGCTCAGGCAATTGGCCACCCAGAGCCCACAGGCCATGCGTCGGACTGTGTCCAGGCCCGTGTTCCTCCAGGAAGGGCCTGGACCATTCCAGCCCCAAGAAGTTTCCTCTCCCTCCTCGGCTGGGGCCCCAGCAGGGTGTTTCATAACCAGCTCCCAGCAGCAAAGAACTGGGGGCAGGGAGCACCCACCCCCATGAACCTGGCTGAGGGGAACAGGGAGGGGCCTTGAAGGGGAGAAGCTCAGACAGAGGGGGCAGTCTCAGCTCCTGGAGAGAGGCGGCCGGTGGGGGAGGGAGAACGAACAGGGGAGGGAACTGACCACGTATTCAGGAGTTCAGATCTTTGTCACGCTGGTTGGCAGCTTCCTTCCTCCTTCCCTCCCAGCACAAGGGGCGTGGGGAACATGCCCAACCAACTATAGCCAACTACAGCCCAACGACAGCCCAACTCTAGGTACCAGGAGGCAGGGTATGCAGTCGGGGTCTGTTAATGGTGAAGAGGACCAGCATGGGGCCAAATGGTCAAATCACTTGAGCTCTCTAAGCCTCAGTTTCCCCATCTGTAAAATGGTGATAATATCAGTGTCCATCCCGCAGGGCTGCCCAGAGGAGGAGCTGGGTATAATGCCCTTGGGACAAGGCCCGGCACCCGGTGGGATCTCAGTAAGTATGAGTCTCTGCTGTTGTCCTGACTGCGAGTGCTGGCTGGAGAACCAGCGGGCTCCTCACACCTCGTCTCGGAGAATCTGTCTCTCCGGGCAGGTCCCAGGTCAAGGCGCGAGCACTAACTGCTCTGAGGGACACTGGAGAAATCCTTCCTGCCCAGAGCTGTCTGACTCCTCCTCCCTCCGCTGGCCTCCACGTCTGAGACTGCGCCACGGAGACATGGCTTTGGGGAATGCCGAGCAGTGCCTCACATCCCCGGGCTTGCACAAAGCTGCTGGTGGAGCAGGGTGGGTGCAAGGAGTCCAGCACAGGACCAGGTGGGGGTGGGGTGTGCGTGGGCAGGGTCGGGGACAGCCCCGATTGCCCGTGCAGCTCCAGATAAAGAGGCGGCGTCTCCGGCGGGTCAGCCGCGGAAGCTCCCCAGCCCCCAGCCCCAGGAGGCCTAGCACCGCAGGACACAGCCTTCCCAGGCCCCCCCTCATTGCTTCCTGGGCCTCCGTTTCCGCACCTGAGATGTAACTTAGCCCTGTGGTTAAGATCAAACGAGACAGCCCATACCAAACCCTCCCCACGGAGCCAGGCGTAGTTGCTGCCTTCATCTGCTAGGGCTGTCATCACAAAGGACCATGGCATGGGTGGCTGCAACGACAGAAATTTTTTTGTCTCATGGTCCTGGGGGCAGGAAGTCTGAACTCAAGGTGTTAGCAGGGTGGACTTCTTCCGAGGCCTCTCTCCCCTTATCTTCACACGTGTATCTTCACACATCCCTCACGTGGTCTTCTCTCTGTGTGTGTCTGTGTCCTAATCTCTTCTTATAGAGACACCAGTCGGAACAGGTTAGGGCCCGTCCCAATGACCTCATTTCAACGCGATCACCTCTGTAACAGCCTTAGCTGCAAGTGCGGTACTGAGGCGCTGGGACTTAGAGCTTCAACATTCCAGTTTGGGGAGTACACCGTTCAGCCCATCACCGCTGGAGCTCAGAAAACATCCTTATTTAGTTGAGTTCAACAAATGCCTTCCCTACGCCAGCAGTGTAACCTAGTCTCTTAGCATGTGTTAATAAACAGAGGAGACCAAGACCCTTGTCCGTGTGGGGCTTACTCTAGGGGTGGAGACAAGGGTGACAGACATGTCATGCAATGACATAATTATACCGTGTGCTAGAAGGTGATCAGTTCTATGGGAGAAACAAAAACAAAAAAAAAAAACAGAAAAATAAGGGGAGTCTGGAGGTAGGGGTAGAAATTTTGAATAGGGCGGTCAGAGTGGGCCACATCGAGGCCACATCTGACAAAGCCTTCATCAAGGTGGTTTATTATTTATTGGTATTATTCCTAGGGAACCGCATCGGATTCTTAGGGTTGTGAACCCCCACATCTCTGCCAACCCCCACCCACTGTAGCGTCAGAGGAGAAATGATGCCTCTGAGACAGGAGATCTGACTTTGACAATGGACTCTGCTGTTTACCGGCTGTGTGGTGTGGGGCAGGTCACTCACCCTCTCTGAGCCTGGGCTTCCACACCCTGCAGTCCTCTGGGCCATCATCACTCAGACAAGTGTGGTGAGGTCCCAGTGCAGGCACGGCTGTCCACGGGCGGGGCTGCTCCAAGGCCGGCTGGGGCAGGTGCGGAGATCTGAGAACGAGCTACCAGAGTTTGTGTAGGATGGGCTGTGTATCAGTTAGGACTGTGTTCGACTGCAAACTAGAGTCATGAGGGCTTAATCAAAGAAGACATTTTTTCTGTCTCATGCAGTGAAGTAAGTTTAGTGTAGGCAGTCAAGGGCTGGTGCTTCTGCTTATGGGTGTCAGCCAAGATCCAGACTCCTTCCACCTTCCTCTTCCAGCACCCTCTGCATCTGCCTTTTATCCTCGTGGTTGAAAGGTGGCTGCTGCACCTCCAGGCATCCCCACTGTCTTCTGGGAAGGGAGAGAGAGGAAAGGGTGAGGTCAGCGATCAGAGATAAAGGGCTGATGAACATGCCAGTTGACTCAGTTCCTTTTTCAATGTCTACCCACGGACTTCCTCTCGTGTTTCATGGGGCAGAACTGGATCAACTTGGCCACATGAGCTACAAAGGATCCTAGGAAGTATTTTAGCTGGGCACATTGCCCTGCCCCCAGAAGTGGGCCCTGCTAATAGGATGAAGGGGAAAGTAGACATTGGGAAGGTGCCTAGCACACTGCTCTCAGCAGAGCTCAGTAGAGCAACAGCGGGTGAAGCTCAGACCCCCAGCGAGGCCAGTGCTGAGGTCAGAGTCAGGCGCCCCAGCCTCCCACCAGCAGCAGCAAGGGCCCCAACACTGGCACATGGGTCCACAGCACAAAGAGGCAGAGCCTGGGCCTGGGGGGCCTGCCTGGGGCAGGCCAGCCGGCAGTGGGTGGATTTGTTTCCTGCCTCACTCACACACACGGGGCCTCTGTGCACTAGCGCCATGGGGCCTCTGTTTCCATAGAGACTGCTGCTCCTCTCTATCTCACCCACTTGGCCTTGAGTCTCTCTGGCCCTCTGAGCAGGGTACCTTGGGGGCAGGGGAGGGCAGCTGCCCCTCGTCGCTGCTTCTTGGTGCCCCCCCACACACACACCCTCTGCCGAAGAAGAGAAGTGGACCTGGGCACTGGCTGTGTGCTAAGAACAACTGTGCCTCAGGTCCTGCCGCCCCCTACCCTGACCCCCCACCTCAGGGTTGACACGGGGGACCTGGAGCATCCTACGAGTGCTCAAAGCCAGTGAGCTAGAGCGAGTGAATGTGAGAGTTAAAGCAAAAACAGAACAGGGGGACAAAACGCCTGCCCCCCACCCCACCCCGTCACAGCAGCATGACGGGATGAGCCCAGAGACGGGAACTGGAGGTGGGGGGTGTCTCCCCGCCCCTCGAAGCTTCCACCTGCATGCCCAATGGGTGTCCTGGTTTAGCACATCCCAGAGCAAACTCTGCGTCCCACCTCAGGGGGACCTGCCCCTCCCAGCTCACCCCACCTCGGTCCGCCTGCCGCATGGACACCCTGCAGGTGGGTCGCACCACAGCCCAGGAGGCCTCCTCCCCGCCTGTTCCTCTCCCGCGTCCCCCTCACACCCTCCCTGTCATCTTCCTCAGCCGTCCCTCTTTACCAAACGGAAGCCGAAGGCCCCTCCTGGCTGCGCGGCTGCCACCTGACTCCGGTGCACTTCAGGGCCACACCAGCCCCACCTGGGCACGTGCTCCGGCCTTGGGGCCTGTGCATTTGCCGCACTTTCACCTCTGAACCTGCCCCAGAGCGCCAGGCGACTGCCTCCCCGCCCCCACCCAGGCCTCGGGAACACCAACCCGAGAGGCTGTCTCTGACCTCCTGTGTGCACAGACACTACCCCCAGCCTGCTTTCTCTTCTCCACAGAGAGGCTCACTGACAGAAACTGTTACAAGCTCCTGGAGGGAGGGGCCAGATTTACTTTTTCTCACTGCTATACCCCCAGCGCCCAGAACCAGCATTCAACCAGTTCGGGCTGAGTGAATAAACAGGATGGGTGGGTGGGTGGGTGGATGGATGGATGATGGATGGATATGGGGCCTCGGGAATGGGCCCTGGGGTCATGGTCTTACTAGCCTCTGCACTAATGACTGGGCACACCCTCAGACTTTCTTTTATAGAATCACCTTGGGAAACAGAGAGAATCAGAGTGAGAACTTCAACCTAAAGCACAGGCTGAGGATGAGGAGGGTGGAGGAGACAGGGAGAGTGGGGCTGACAGGCCCCCGCGGGGCCCACAGGGCCCTGGTTGGGGAGGGCTGGGCGAGCTCGTGGAAGCAGCCACGCTGGTGGCCCGGGCTGTGGGGCTTTGGCTCTGCTGCCTCCCATAGGGGCCGGCTTGGGGACTGAGCTGCTCCAACCCTCAGTTTCCTTATCTGTGCGATGGGGGTAAATAACACACGCTCACTATGGCCCTTCCCTCCAGTGAATTTTGAGGCTGACCCTGTTTTGAGGGGCCGGCCCGGATTTGCATCTCCATCTGCACTGGGGCCTCCACTTCCTCTCACGAGAACCCAGGTGGTTCGGTGACACCTGTGGCTTTTGTACATCAAGGTCACCCCTGGCTCCTTGGCTGTCCGTCCATCTCCCATGCTCAGTGTCCCTTCAGGGTGGAGGAGTCTTTGGCAAGCATGGATACCTGGTGCCAGCCCAGGCACCCCACCTGGGGCCCCCACACCAGCTCTGGCCACCCCTTCTGACTGTTGTGGGATACGGAGGTCCCTGCTGCTCAGAGGCCCCCAACACTATGCACCCGAGGGCTGGGCCAGGGCCTGGGCTGCCCCCAGCCTCCCTGCTGTCCTCCCAGGGCCCCTGGGGTGAGCTGATGAGCAGCTGGCTTAACTCCTGGGGGACTCACTGCAGGTAAGAACGTAAGTGCCCCGGGGGCACGGCCCAGTGTCTGAAACTCAAACCCAAAGGAAGAAAGGGGTCGGGCGGCTGTGCGGGGTGGGAGCGGGGGCGCCCCAGCAAGGCGCCACAATGCAGACCTACAGCCTTGAGGTTCCGGAGCCTGGCAGTGCAGAAAGGGCCGCAACGGGGAGAATGCCAGGCAAACTGGGGTGGCTGGCAGCCTACATGGAGGCCCTCTCTTTCAACAGTTTGAGAGAGGTCGGAAATTCTAATTGTATGTAAAATCTCCCCAATTTCAAGTGTGGGCCCACCCCGTGTGGCCTCAAGGGAATGTGACTGTAGCCTGCCTGGGGCCAGCGCACCGCCCACTGAGGTCTTGGTAGGCAGGCCGTGCCAGACGCCACCCGGTCCCTAGGCCAGGTCACACAAAGCCTGGGGCTGCTCTGCAAAGGGGGTGAAGGCAGGTGTGCAAAAGGAGGAACCCCATGTTGACATTTCCATAGATGGTGGTGCTGTGCAGGGTAGGGCGCAGGGGAGGTGCACGGTGTGGACGGATCTAAAGAATGGCTGTCGCCTCTGTTAGCTCAGGGCCGGGCACTCATGAGAGAGTGTGAGAGGTTCGCTCTCCTCACACACCTTCTTAGGAAGCCTTCCCGGCCCCTCCTGCCGATGCTTCGTAGCACTTCGTTCTCCAGAAGTTTCCGTCGGAGCTGCAGATGAGGAGCCTTTGCGGCCAGGGGTGGCAAATTGGAGAGCCCAGTGACAACTGGAGTCGGTCCCCCAGGAGAAAAGGCCCCAGACCGGAGGGAGATGAGAAGACACAGGGCGCCAGGCAGGGCACCCTGGGGAGAGGGACTGTGATCGTGGGCCAGGGCCACCGACACAAGCACCGCAGTCCTGCAAGCTCCAAGTCCAAGGTCAAGTCGGCCCCTCTCCTTGGTGCTTGCAGATGGTGTCTTCTCCCGGTGTCTTCAGGGGGTCGTCCCTCTGTGTGTGTCTGTGTCCCCCGCCCCCCCCATATCCTCTCCTTATGAAGACACCAGTCACACTGGGTTAGAGCCCAGCCTCGTTTGTAACACAATTACCTTTTAAAAGGTAATTGATCTCCAAACACAGTCACATTCCAAGGTACTGTAGGTTGGGACTTCAACAAATGAACGAGGGTGGGGGCAGGAATCACGTGGTGGGTGTCCAGTGTGGGGAGGGGCGCTGCCTGGGAAAGCGGTGCAGACACCGAAAAGGTTGCCCAGCAGCTACCCAGCCCCCACTTCTGCCACCACCACCAGCCCGGACCTTCACCCCCACCCCCACCCCCACTCAAGCCATGCCACACACTGCCGCTTATCTGCCCAGATCAGCTCCAGCACCTTCTAAGGCAAGATTAGCCTCTCACACAGCAGCACCCGCTCTTTGTCGGTAGTGACTAATGGAGGGAATTTCAGGCAAGGTCAGACAGGAGGTTGGCACAGGGCGCAGTGGGTGAGGATGAGGTGTCCTGGCTCCTCCGCTAGGGCCCCAGAGAGCTGCCTGTCTAGGCCTCTGCCCCCTGGTTGGGCTTGCCCTGTGCAGTCTCTGGTTTGCTGGCCCAGACGGCGCTCCGGCCTGCCCCTGGCCACACACCAGGGCCTGCGTAGCTGGAAGGGGAATGGGAAAGTGAAAGAGGAAGCAGTGTCAAGGAGAGGGGAAAGGCAGGGACACCCC